AGTTGATTTTCCCTTTGTCACTGAGTAATTCCCTCAGGTATCCCTGGTTCAGCATCCTGACCACCTCTTGCCGTAGGCCTATGCAGTCTTCGGTCTTGTGCCCCCGTTCCTGATGGAACTCACATAGGACGTTTGATTTCCTTGTGGCGGGGTCTGATTTCATCTTTTGCGGCCACTGCACTTTGGTGCCCAGCTTCTCCAGTGCGTACACTATTTCTGAAGGAGACACACAAAAGTTATGGGCGGATAATAAAGGGGGCGTACCTCTTTCGTTTCGAAGTGGGGCGACATGTCGCTGTAGCGCGTCTGTATGCCTTGGTGGCGGATGGGAGGATCTGGTGTATGGCTGATGTCGATCTCTATTGGAGCGAGGGAGTTGTTCTCGTCGTCCTTCGTTCCGTCGATCTCTCCTCGTTTCTGGATGTATCGCTGTTAGCCGTTGGGTTGGCCCATTAAGATCATCCTCGTCCGCTCGTACCTCAGCGCAATAGGCGTTGTGGATTTCCTCCCATGTGGTAGGGGGATATTTCATGAGGCGGCTCAGCAACTTCTTGGTTGCCCTTGAACCATCCCTGCTTAGCCCGTTCTGGAAAGCGGCGACTGCCATACCTTCCGATACGTTTGGTAGACTCATCCTTACTCTGTTAAACCTTGCTAGGAAGTCCCTGAGTCCCTCTCCTGTAGTTTGCCTGATGGCGAAGATGTCGTTGACCCTGGCCTCCGCTTTCTTCGCGCCTGCATGGGCTATGACGAACTTATCCGCCATTTCCTCGAACGTTGATATTGCCTTAGCTGGTAGCTGAGAGTACCATGTTAAAGCCCCTCCTGTCAACGTCTCGCCAAACTTCTTCAGCAGTACCGACGGTACCTGTTCCTTTGATAGGTCGTTGCCCTTCACAGCGGTGACGTAGTGGATCAGATGATCCTCGGGATCAGTGGTTCCGTCATATACCCTCAAGTAGGGTGACATCTTGAAGGTTTTTGGGGTGGAGTGAGGGGCAGCTTCTTCAGTGTATGGTTGTTCAACGAACCTTCCCACGTCGCGTTTTGGTAGCAACTTGGGGGCACCGGGGATCTTGTCGACCCTCTCCTGATGTTCCTTCATCTGATCGCGGAGCGCCTTGTTTTCATTTTCCATTTCTTCCATCTTCTTTAGGATGGCTATTAGCGTGCCATCGTTGGTCTGTGTCTCGACGGGTTCGTTATTTTCTATTGCAACTTCCGGTTCGCCCACGACAACAGTGGTATCTACCGTTGGTGTACACCTGATGTTACTTTGTGGTGACCTCTCAACCAAGCCACTCAGAGTGCTTGTTAGCCATCTTTCCAGTAGCTTCTTGACCGCTGAGGGTGCTTCCATAGCCGCAGATGTGGAAGCTCCCTTTTCGTGCAAGATCGTCAGATCTTCGGATGGGGAAGGTGAATCTCCGCACCCGATGTGATACTGGGGGTTGCATTCAGGATGCCATCGTCACTGGCCTCGTTGAGAGGGCCAAGGAGATTGGTAGTGACACCCAATATAACTTTTGATCTTGGGTTATTCTCAGCCATCTTTTGTGTTTGTGTGGTTTAGAGAATGGTAGTTGGTTGTTCTCTAGGTGGATACTATGATTTTAATTCTCGAAATCCCCACAGACGGATAAAATGATAATTATTCACATTTTAAATTTTAGTATGAATTTTTATCGATCTGACATTTTAATAATTACGGAGGCCAAAATTAATATCGACCTATCATAACGTAAGAATAAACAACCTGACTATGGTGTTGTTTGGCTAAGCTTATAAGCTGGTCAAACTGGCTTATACGCATTTTTAAGCTTATCTATGCATTTGGTTAACACCAAAAGTGCTTATAAGCACTCGGCTTATAAGCCAAAATAAGCCATAAGTCATAAGTTGGTCACCCCCAGCATATGATTTTCTGACTTATAAGCACTTTTGGTTTGACCAATAATTTTACTCTTTTACCCTATTATTTTATTATAATCTTTAAAATATTCTAAAACGAAAACCTAAAATCTACCGTTCTTCACGATTCATTCACTCACCATTTTTCTACCTCCTTAACCTCCTCTACTGTCTAAGAACAATCAGATTGGCAATTGGCACCATTTAGGGTAGAAAGTTTCTTTACTTTCTTAAATTATTTGCTAAGTCTTTTTGCATCTTGTTGTAAAATTAGAGATCTGGGTATATTCCTAATTATTTCTCAATCTCTTGAAAAAGAAATAAAGAAGCATTGTGTTTTAAAGGGGAAAACGTTAATGTTGTTCAACAACATATGTTGCCCAGATTCGAAATTTCTCTTATTCTTTGTATTCAAATATGAGCCAAACGACTATTCTTTATTCTATTCCTTATAATGTAATGAATTTTATTCAAATTATTAATTGTTTTATTTTAGCTTATGATTGTATTTTAGCTTATCACAATATAATTTTATTGAAAATAGTTTAATCTAATAAATTTTGCATAAATATTAAATTGAGTCATAAATTATTTTTGTTTTTGAATCATTCAGGAATTGAAAATCATGTAATAAACAACTTTAAGGGCATTTAAGACATTTTAATAGGAAAAAAATGCTTTTCAGCTTTTTTCACCAAACACTTCCGCTGCTTAATATTAGTTTCAGCACTTTCATCCAAACACGTAACTGCTTATTTAATAAATCAGCTCCAGCATTAAAAAATGCTTTTCAGCACTTAGTGCTTATCAGCTACTTTAAATAAGCTAAGCCAAACGGGCTCTATATGTATAAAGACACAATGAGCTCCATTTTTAGCCTATTATTCTTTAAGAGGCCGTTTGCCATATATATATATACATATATATATATATATATATATATATATATTTTTTTTTTTTTCTGATTTTTATTTTTAATTTTTTCAGGAATCAGTGTATGACTATGAAATTTCAAATTCAACTTGAATTTTTCTTTTTGAAAAACTACGCTCCAAATCACTCACAAAAATTTAAAAACAACTCCAATTTATATGCATGTCTAATCACAACTCTAATTTTCATATACCATTTTAACTTGAAAAATTCATTCTTTTCCAAAAATTTCACAATTCTTATGTCCAAACGCTCACTAATTCTATCATACTCATTTTAATTAATTTTTTATCGTTATCAGTGTCCTTTCGCGTAATTGTTGGATTTTGCATCGACAATAATACTTTAATATTTTTTTCAAACAAGTCAAATAAATATTCAAGATTTCAATATTCAATTAAACTGTAATATAATAAAATAATACTAGCAATCTCTCTCTTGAAAATTAAAATACTTTTCATTTGAACTGCAGAAGCCGGGGGACCCCCAGTTGAAGACCTGACAAACGAACAAACCGTTAGGGATAATATTGCAATTAAATTGAACAAGAGGGGTTAAAAGTTAACAAATGTCAAAGTTTTCAGACTCGCTTGACAGTTTTGAGCCGCCCGAAACAGAGCTCAAACTCCAATGAGAATTGCCTTTTCTGCCCAAAGACAAACAAATTATCCTATTTGCCCCCCAAAATGACAATCCAATCCCCATCTCGTTTTAAATTTCAAAAATTCAACACTACAGACGCATTTTTTCTGAATTTTCTGAGTCTCACCAAATGATAATTTGGAACTTTTTGTTGAAAATTACTTGTCACTGCTCTACATGATTTTAGAATGATTTAATAGATACTCTCCACTTTTGAACTTCAATGTCCTTCTAATTAATGCTATATAAATTAGTTTATCAGTTATCAATTGAAAACAGGTTTTTATCGTTTCTTTAAAAAATTGTTTGAAATTCTTTTGCAAATTTTCAAAATTTTGTTTGCAAAGTTTGAAAAAAAGAAGAAGTGACTCTTTTCTCAAACTTTGAATTTCTATTTCCAACTTTGAAAAATTGAAAATTACAAATACTTTTATTATGTATTGAAAGGAAAATATTACCCCTTTAAGTTTGTATAAAAACAAGCCCACCACTCTCCTCCCAAGAACAAGAAAAAGAGAAAACAAATTCAAAATGGGAATAAGTGACGAATTAACAATTATTTTTTGGGAAATTTTTGATTGGGATGTTTGATTTTAGATTCGGTATATTTATATTGAATCGTCATTCAAGAGATTCAAAAAACATAAGACGCTAGGAACAATTTTACCAATGTTGCCACCGATTCATGCTTAGTTGGGACTCCCACTTTAGACTTTTGGATGTTATCAACTCCTATTTACGATAAGACTAAGATTGATAAATGAATTTGTTATTTTCCTCTATGTTATAAACAATTCCTTAAGTATATAAACAAGTAAGTGGCATGAAAATTTGAATTATTGTAGAATTTGAATGTGATTGTTTCAAAAGTGATTAAACAATTACAATGAAAAAGAAACTAAATTACAACCATGACAGACCCATTGTAATATCACAAATAAGGTCTGAGGAGGGTAGTGAAGTTAAAGAGGTTGTTTCTCATGTAACCTCGATTAAAAAAAAAGGCTAATCATAACATTGTCGATAAAAAAATATAATACTAAATAAACCACGAATAAAATAAAATAAAATCATACAAGCAATCTCAAGCAATACGATATAGAAGGATTCTTTTTCCTCCTTGTATATGGTTGACCTCACAAAGTTTTATAAATATTGCTTGAAATTACTTGTATATTATTATTAAGTTTAAGATTTGAAATACGGAGAATTAAATGTCTTAGTACAACCAACGCTTAAACAAATTAATTTTATGTAGTGTCGTGTTGTTTCCATCACGAGAAACGAACCTATTCACACTCCAAATACAATTTTTTTTCTTCAGCAATCCTAATACAAACTAAAATAGAAAATATATCAACAAAATGAAACGAGGTAGTGATAATAACTTGCAAATTTAAGTTAACAAAATTGACAAATAATATAGAAGGGCATAATAGTCAAAGCAGAAAAAGATTTATAACGTTATATCTCACCTAATCGGACCACCCATACCCGTCTTTTCAAAAATTTCGGATCTTTCTGAACACAATCAGTGGCCTCGCCGCTACTAACCAGTCTCACTACTTACTGCTAAATAGTACTCTTTTCCTCTGTCTTTTCCCTATCCCAAATCTCCATGAAAAATCGTTACGTCCCTTATATTCTTCCAATTCTTCTCGTTTTTCTATACACTGACTAGGGCTTTTTCAGTGTTCTATTATTTTCAAATCTCGCAGCTCGAGATCACCGTTTCTGTGTGAGAAATCACGCTGAGTGTGTGTTTGAAATGGAGGAAGAGATGATGGAGGATATGGTTGAGTATACGTTTACGGTAGTGGAGATTGACCTCGATTACGAGTATGATGCGCCTCGTTACTTTGATTTTAGCCGTGACGAGTCTTTGCCTGAGACTCGTCAAGCTGAGAGCTGGTTTGAATCTGCCGGAAGCTATCCTCCTTCTCGTAAGTCACGTTTTTTCTGCTTTTTCTTATACTCAATGTTTATTTTCTTTTCTTTTGTGCTGAATTTTGGATTTTTCAGAACTTATATTTTGTTTTCCTGCTCATTTCTAGCTATTTCTTACAAGTCACAGTAGGATCAACTCTACTATTGCGATAATGCCAATGCTATATTTCTCACGTTATATATTTTATATTTTAGCATTTTCCGGACAAAGTTTTTTAGCTTTTCCTGTTCATCTTTTTTTTTTTTAATTTTTTTTTATTTATATAAACGTCATTATTTAAAAAATAAAAATATTTATTTTAGCATGGTTACTACCTTTCTACATATTGTGGAAGTGTTAATGTATTGTAAATATCAATGGAGAAATAAAATTATATTTTTAACTAGACTTAGAAGAAATATTATCGATTTTCAGATTCTAATTGCATTTTCATTGAAGTAACACCTGGTGTGACAAACTCAAAGTTAGTATCGTCCAAGTAATCTGTCAAAATGGGAATTATTTTGAGTTTTTTTTTTCTAATAAAAGAGCTGGAATCTCCTCTATGCTATTTTCTTTGATGTATTGAGCATTATATGACACTTCTGGTTTGCCTTTTTTATTTTTTTGCTTTAATTTTGGTGAAGGATCTGCTTAACATTACTTAGGTTAAACCTCATTCTAGTAAAATGAAATTTGAAAATTGTGACACTATGACTGATATTTGTTCTGTGTTGTTTAAGCTTTTGTCACTAGGTTAATTATGAAGGCGGATGATTTGTTGGAAAGCATTAATGTTTCTCCGAAAACCAAAGTTGATGAAAACATGAGTTTATCAGATAGTGATTCTGATATAGAGGTCGAGCAAGGGGTTCCTGGTGCAATAAAAGGTGTTTATTTTACTTGAATTTTATGGTTTGCTGTTATACCAGAAATTTAATATGTTCTTTAATTTGGCATTGAGCATTTGCTTTTAGAAGTTCATAATCATTTTGAATCTTTCATATTTTTGCATGTGGTGACTGAAACTTTGCTGAGATGCAAGCTATTTCTTTACGCTGACTTCATCTGAAATTACACTCCGCAATAGGGTAAAAGCAGATACTTTTGTATGCATACAAATTTTTGAATCCCCTTGAAGAAAAGAAGCTTTTAGTTGTAGTGGCAAAAGTGGTTCGAGAATTCTAAATGTGGCATCTTGACATTCTTTTTATCCTCTTGTTATAATTCTTGGCTCCCTCACTAATACTGATCGAGACTCTTCAAAGCCTAAGTTATAATAGAAGTTATTTCTTACAAGATGCTAAGGGAGCATATGACTGTTCCTTCATCCGGTGCTGATGAGCTGGTTCATTTATCACTTCCGGTCCCTCTGTTCTATGTAGACTTTTTTTCCCCTCTCAAAAGAGGAACTGTTTCTCCTAGTTGTTTACTTTAATATAGCAGTCTTACTTTGGTAATTCTCTACAACTTTCTTGCACCGATGTTGATAATACTTGCTCTTGTTTACTCCCTTTGACCCTTGGTATGACCCACTTTGCTTTTCAATCTTACAGAAGGATTAGTCTATCTAAAAATGGTAAAAAATGCATAAAAAATAAGATTGTAAACACTCATTTTCTTGTGCTAAATAAGATCCGTAAAAGCATGGATATACCTGATGCTGAAACTTAATTGATGTTCCCATAATCACGCCTTTGTTACCAGTTCTATTTTCTGATTCAAACCTATCCCCAGAGCAACTTGTTGCTGTAAATCCCTCTAACTTTGAAGATATGATTCATTAGCCTCCACGTGCATGTAAAGAGGACCACTCCTAGGTCCTACCTTAAGCTGCTTATAATGAATACTGCTGTTCTTATCATTATGCCTCCATGCACTAAAGAGAGGTTTCATACTGATATGCTCTAGTTTTCAATCTGATTTCATTTTACAGAAGGCGAGGGGAACAATGCAGGACATTCTGCTAACTTAGAAATTAGCAATGCCGAGAAACTTCTATATCAACTAAGACAGCTGCCTTCAGGTGCTTTTACTTTCTAATTTGACAATAGTAAATGTTTCACTTTTAATATTTAGCTTAAAGAAATATCTCCCAAATGATTAATATTCTACTCTTAAAATTAAGAATTTGTTCTTGTGCTTTCACAACTCAAGTTGGTCGTTTAAATGATATGTATATGTATGTGAATGAGTATTGCCGATTGTACAGCAGTATCGCCAGGCAACCATATTGCACTAGGTTTGTGGTGTCTTTTTACTTTGATAGGTTCACATTTATATTTGGTGCCATTGGTTTACAGGGTTGACATTCTACAATCACATGGCTAAAGATACCACAAAAGGTAAAACCAAGTGTTCAGGGAAGCCATCTTGTCCCAGGACCTCAACCCTCATGAAACCAACCGCAAGTCACTTAGCCAAACAAAACCCACTTCGTCCAGTTGGTGAATCGAGGTTGGAATTCCTGATTTTCTTGGAATGCTCTGTTTAAGTGCAAAAAAAAAAAAAAAAAAAAAGAAAAAAAAGAAAAATCTTTTGTAGTGCTTTCTTGGTGATCTTTTTAAAAGTTTTTGAACAGTTAGAACATGCAATATCTTCGAACAACAAGAGATTTAAATGTGTTTATTTTATTTTTATATTCCACCTTTTAGTGAATGCTGAGCAAACTCTTGCCACTTTGCATGTAATTGGTTGTGAATAAATCTTGTTTGATCATACAGAGGACCTCATCACTGGCCCTGCTAAATACTTTACTGGTATGTGATCTCTTTGAAACACCTCTTTCTCCGGTATGCTAGGTTACCCACATTTTTGGTTGAGACGAATGGAACAAATTCTGCTGTGATTGAGACTCAAGCTGCCAAGAGACAAAAACTTGAGAGTGGTCATCTACGGAAGGTATTTTGCCCTTTGGATTTTGCTTCTCTTCGTTGTGCCATACTAATAATGAGTCTCAATAACTATTAATTTTCTGCTTGCACTTTAGCGGTGTTTTTTCCGTTACCAGGATCAAGTTGATGAATTTTTGGAGTTAAATTTTCTGCTAATTAATTGAATAAAAGTTAGAAGTTGAGAATTTACATGGGAAGCGTGTTACATGTTGGATTTTTGACATTTCTAATTATTGGAGTAGATTAAAAGAAGTGGTAGACAGAGTTAGTTTGTTCTCACTGGAAGAAAAACACGACCCTTACGCAAAAAGTAAATTCGAAACATTTCTTGGTCTTCGCATCTAGTCAGTTGACCAAGTTCTTTTCCAGCTGTGCAATCTCGTCAGAAAACACTTAGGCATCCTCTCTCTTTCCGATGTTCAAGTCTATTTCCTCGTCTGTGGACTTTTGGCATCTCTCTGATGTTAGATTTCTCATTTTTTTTACCTTATCAAAGAAAAAGATTGCTCATTTTTATGAAAAATATCTGTTTCTGCTTTACAGGTTGCCGAAGCAAAGCCTGTATTTAGTTTTGTTCATAAGGCACCTAAGCGAGTAAGTGTTTTCTCCCTGTTCTATTATTTATTTGCTCATGAAAGAAGTTAGAAATTTTCCTTCAGGTGCAATTAAACACTAGTGGCTTTCTATTTTTCATTCTTTTGGTCTTGTCTGTCCTCTATATTTTCCCTTTACCTGTGATATCTTTTCCTTAGTTGACAAAGTCTTCCCTTATGCCCTTATATGAAAATGTCGGGAATCTTCTTCAGCTGTTTCATTTGATCGTGTCTTTTCTATATATTTTCCCCATAGCTATGATGGTTATTGTTGATATAGTAGTTCAAAGTGCAAGCTCCCGTATTTTTACATAAATGATGTCACTATTAATATATACCTTAGTTTTCAACCATTAGCCAGGCCCATGTTTGAGTGGCTGAAGAATGTCTTTAGTACAAAGTTTTGGGGAATTCCTAGTCTAGAGCTCTGGGTTTATAGACGTTTAACCATAAAGAACTTTTGGCGATGACTGGGTTTGGAGTTCAGACACACATGTTGAACGATCTTGCAGGATGGAAAAGTTGATGGCAACAACACAGTGGCTAAGCCCAGAATAACTATTCCTAGAGAGCCTGAGCTTCAAACAACTCATAGAGCACAAAGGGCAAGGTCGATTTCATTAACTGGTTTCAGTTATCTTATACCGTCTTTAAGGACCATCATCAATATGTTAACATGACATTTCGATTTCAGGCCAAAGGTTAGTGAACAAGCAGAAAATTTGGCGCCGACAGCTATCCGTAGATTCAAAGCTCTTCCACTGAATAAAAAAGTTAGTAGGCATATTTTCTTAGTGGCCATTGCCTCATCTGCATGTTGTTGACAACTGTCTATCTCACAGATCTTTGAAGGTCCTTCTTTGCCTCCAAAAAGAAGCAATCCACGACTTCCGCAGTTTCAAGTAAGGAATCAGACTGGTGTCTTTGCTTCTTGTCCGTTCTTAAATTACCAGCTCCATTCATATCATACTGTCTGGCCTAGATGACTATGGGAAATAGTCACTTGTATTCCCTGAATTTTCACTTATTGTAGTGCTTTTAAGCATAATTCTGCTGCTAAGTGAATTTAAATTTCTCTCTTGACACATTGGTTTTCAGGAATTTCACCTGAAGACGTCAGAGAGAGCCGTGCAACATCGTTCAGCCGTTTCAACTTCTGCGGCCAATTCTTCTACTAGTAACAAGGTAAACATATCAGTTCTTATCACGTATTATGCTTATGCATACACACTTTACTTCTGATTTAGCTTAAATGGCTGACCCAGCGAAATGGAAAAATGACTAGTGGCAACAACCATCACAGATTTGGGAACTTGTAGTGTTTCCCTCTTTGTTGGTAGCTTCTTCCAATTATGGTTTTGCTAGCCTGCAATATTACACAAAATTGCAGTTCTGATGAAGTCTAAGGTTCTGTTTGCAGGTGTTGCAGAAACCCATTAATAATTCAATCATGGAATGTGGAAATAGAGAATTCAGAAGGTGAATCTTGATATACTTGTGGAATTGTATCTCTTATATATTTATGTGTATTTGTGTTGAATAGCAGCCTATGTTGTTATCACAATCCTCTCTATTTTGTCGTTGTTACATTTTTAATTTATTTATTTTTCAGTTAAAAGATTGACAGGTCAATGATTGTAAATGTAAATTATTTTAAGGGTGTGGATGACTAAGAAATGGGAACTTTTGTTTATCAGAGTTAATCATGTAGAGGCTCCAAAGCAGGAGGAATCTACATCAACTTACAACTTTAAAGCTCTTCCCCTTAATAAAAAGGTACGTTAAGAAAATTCGGGAAGATTTTATGTAAGGAGTTCTGGGAACTGAACAACTATTTGCTTTATATAGATCCTATCAAGTAAAGGAGATATTGGAGTATTCCGTAACACCAAGAGGGAAACCACAGTGCCAATGGTAATACCAGAGATGTCTAGTCTTTTCAGTTGTTATTGTTATCTTTGAAATTCCAATAATGACGCATGAATTGCTTTGCCTCTGCCACAGGAGTTCAATTTTCATACTGAAAAGAGGATTCATCATAATCCGCCAATTGATCTGTTTAATAAGGTTGAATATTTTGCTTCTTTACTTTGATTGTTTAATATGGTTGAGTATTTTACATCTTTACATGGTTTGATGTTCTTTTGGACACAATATTGCAGCTTTTACCATACGTTTTTTGTATTCTTACATTGTAGATCATCAAATTGTGATAAATCTTTCATGGTTTTTTTCAGCTCTCTCTTACATCTGAGCCCCAACCTGCTGGAGTGCAGTTGAAAGCACAAAGACCATCCTTCTTTCAGTCAAAGGTTCCATTTATTTCTCCATTTTTTTTTTCTGATCTTAATTAATTAAACAGTGTACTGATTTTTGATTTTGTACGTCTTTTTGGTACAAGGGCTCTAAAGAAAATAGATGGGCTTATTTCCAACAAAACCATGAGGTAAACTCTTTTTATTCCCTGGCTGCTAGCTTTTTCCATCTCCATTCATGTTTCTAATCAGCTTTTCAAGCAGCAATATTTTCAGTATCATGTTTACAGTTAACTTTAATCAGCTTAAAATTCTTCTTTTAAGATAGTACACACGGAGAAGGCTAAACTAGCTGATCTTAAAAGCAAAGCCAATTCAGTTTGGTAGTGATGTGGGGATGACTGAAGTTTGTCAAGTCTCTAGCATCATCAACAGGTACACAGTTTTTCTTTCTTCTTTTTTTCTTGATAATCAAGTAATCCAGAGGGCCAGTGGCGAGCGCACAGTTTGAAAGTCCAAGGAACTCGCTGGGCTCGCCCCTCTACCCTTATCCACTTAAATAGTAGGCTTTTGTTTGCGGCAGGGTTCGAACCCATGACATGCTCGACCAAAGCCCTGGGACAGTTTTGCTTTATCTTCTTACATGATCCAACTTATCCCATTAACCTATATTTCAATTCTTGTAGGAGTTTGGGCATTCGGTAGAGGCATAATGCAGCACATTTCTTAGTGTTGATGAACCCTCTTTGCTTGATTCAAAAGGCAGACTGAGACGATGTAGCGATGCAGTACATAAAACCTGTCTGAAATTGTCAAGTGTGTTAATGTACACCCCAGCTTTATAATTTTTTATGTAAAAATCAATATCTACACATGTAAAAGGTCAAATACAAACGATGATGTTAATCACCGTGTCATCATGTGAATAAAAATGAGCAAGTGTTGTTTAGTCGGAGCTGTTCAGCTTTATTTATCAATTTTCTTTGATTTTGCTGTGTTACCCCTAGTAGTAGCTTCTGAATGTGACACTCTGGAGTAATTTTTATGAGCTCTGAAGATATCGACATTTATAAGTAGTGACGTGGTTAGTTTGTTGTCTGGTGGCATACTACAATCAGGCTGGAAGATTTTGAGTGATTAATTATATTGTGTATCAAATGCCTGAAAAAAATTAGATAATTACAAATGCAATAGATTGCTCATTTTTGGCTACTGATATTGAACAATTCTGACAGATGGGATTATATTTTGACTAAAATGACTATATGATGGTAGGAAAGGCTACTAGACCTATTAATTGTTTCCTTTTTTCTGGTCACTGCATCTGAAATTTCTCATTCCCAGTAGCGGCAATGTCTTCGTGTCTCCTGCTTGTTGTCTTCAGAACTAATTGCTTGATTATATATTGCCGCCAAGTACCATATTCTACAATTATGCAGCACTATTGATTTGCTATCACTTCTCCTCATCAGAGACAGACTCTTTGTCTCCTGAATGATGTTTCCTTATTGATGTGACAAATGAAAGAGGGGACTGTTTTGTCCAACGTTTCATCAAAGGCTTCTTATCCTTGTTGTACCTCTTCTTTGTTATGGCAATGGCAAGATCATTAGGGAACAAGGTCTTCCAAACAAAAGCATGTAGAAGAGTGGAGACAAATAATATGAAGACCATTGTTGTCGACATGAACGAAAGGGCCAAAGCCAGAGCCTTGGTTATGAAAGAAGGAACCTCCTCTGCATACTTTATGGATGCTATTGAAACTGTGGTCATTGGAAAAGTATAAGACCACCATGCGACTGAAAATCTGCAGATAGTCAAGATATTAGTAATTATGAGTCCAAGACATGTTTTTCTCAAAATTTTAAACTTTTGTGCAGTTCTCTTATGTTTCAGGGATAAGAAAGTGACCTGAATCCTCTGAAGAAGTTGGGACGCACAACCAACGATAAGTAGAGAAATAATGAAATGAAGTAGCATGTCCTTGCCAAGCCATCAAATTCATCATAGATAGCACCCCAAGCAATGCTAGCTGCAGCTGGAGTTGCAATGAACATGGAATAAACAGGGTGCAGTTCCTTAGGCAACGCTTCGCTCGTTGGCAACCTTTGATATAATGTGACAAACACCACAAGATAATGTGCAAAACCAATAGCCCACAAGAACTTGCCAGGCTCCTTCCATCCCACTTTAGCAGCCAAAATGGCTCCCACGAAATTCCCAATTACAGACAAATGAGAAGATGGGTTGGCTACTTTAGAAAGACGCCTTTTCCCTCCCGAAAGCCATTGACCATAGATTTTGAGATTGAGGAAGAAGATAGGGGCTATGAATACACACCAGATGGCAGGGTGAAGAGTGCCTGGTGCTATTTTAGGTGGTGTACCTATGGCTAAAAACATGCAGACAATCCATGGAGCAAAAAAGAAGTTGACCCTCACCGGATGAGAGTATTCTCTCCTTATAGCTTCAAAGTAAAGTGCACATTTGAACATGTAGGTTGTGAAAACTGCAACTAGAATCCCCACACCTAACAGCCAAATCACAAAGTTAATGAAAAGTGGAACATGGAGGAATTTGGTGGCAGGACTTAGAGCAAGAGAACGCCAGAGGATGGCTTGACTGCTAAGACCTAGGCAGATACCAAAGCAACCAATAGGGAACCTAAGCAGGAAAGGCCATTTTTCATCTTTTGGAAGAAGAATATCCTCAGAATCCTGCAGAAAAGATAGTAATGCTGAATCACAACTGAGTTAACATCTATGCACTGACAGTGCAAAATAATGCACAATATCAGATCATCTGAAAGATAACTACAAGTAACAATCCATAAAAAGTAGGATTCGTAACCTGAAAAATGATGTCATGTTACCTGCTATAACAAGTTAAAATACATTGAAAGTGTAAAATTCTTTACGTTGCTAGTGTAGAAAGAGGGCATCCCGCATTCACACAGGGTCCGGGGAAGGGCCGCACCCCAATGGATGTGGTGTAACCAGCCTACCCTAATGCAAGCATTAGTGGTTGCTTGTATGGATCGAACCCGTGGCCTATAGGTTACACAGAGACAACTTTACCGTTGCTCTAAAGCTCCCCTTCCACCAATGTAAAAACCATAACAATTTTATGCATTCATCGTTGAAGTTTTGGAAATGAAAAGTTGATAAATACCTTGACTTGATCAAGTTCAGGTCCTCTAAGGGCATCAAAGTATCTTCCAGCAGGTACACTCTTATTGATATTTTCATCAATTCCTCCTTTAACATTATTATTCTGAAGATCAATTCCACTGTCTTTTCTAAGTGGTATCTTTGATGATTGTCTAACAAGAGTAGATTTAGTCCTGAACATACTAAAATCCCCTTTATTTCTTGCTTCAATACCAGTTCCATCAACACCAAATCCTCCAAAACTCTTTCCACTTCTTCCAAGTACTTTTCTCTCATTTTTATCTTTAGAAGTCTCTCCATTGAGTACAGAGAAGCCTGTTTCTAGTGACACTTGCCTGCTGAAATTCCTAGGAGCCCTTTTCATTTCTCTATTTTTCGTAGGCCTGTTGAATCGCTTGTCCGATTTATCAGCCATATTAGAAGTGTTGTTGTTTTCTTCCTTATCTTCTTCCTCTTCATGCAAGACTTCATGAATGTCAACTAGATGGTTTCCTACAGAATTTGATCCTACATTCATTTTGCCACCTTCTGTAGTTAGCGATAAGTCGACAAAATATGGAGTATTCTTTATTTCTTGGTATAATAAGCTTTTTTTATGGTTTGTCAAACATGGGATAGATCACGAGAAATGTGAAAAAGAACTTGTGTAGGTGGTGGTTATCAACTTGGATGATTAAGTGGAAATTGTAGCTAGTAAACGTGCAAAAGTGTAGCTTTTTAGTAGGGTTTCTCGTGAGTATGACTTCAACAATCAATTTGTGGTTTATAAAGAAACCATTACAAGAAGTATTGATGAATATGACAATGTCTAATTTTATGGTTTGAAAAAAATAAGTGATGCTCTACATTTGAGAGACACAGTTTCTTGCATTTCACGGGTCTAAACCAAAAATAGAAGGGTCAGTGTAATAAGAAAGTGGCATTGGCTATGGACTTACCTCACAACTAGGGTGCCATAAGGAAGTGAGTTCAAATGGTAGTTGAATCTTGATTACGACCACCTATGGTCATAGCCTATGGGTCAAAAAATATATGTTTTAGATTAGTGGCGGAGCTAGAATTTCTTCATAAGGGAACTTCAAATATCGCAAGAATACTAGACTTGGGATTCGAACTTGCGACCTAAAGGAATTCTTGATCCACCCATAGAAGCTTCATTAAGCAATAATTTATATGTATACCAACAAATTTGGTTTAATCCTATTTGCATAGTATAATTTCTCGACGAAGGAGGTTCAAGTGAATTCCTTTGAACCACATAGTTCTGCTCCTATTTTAGAAACTTCAATTACCATCCTTCCCTGTAGCCGGTCCCCCATGTAATAAATAAAATTAAAAGAAAATCTTGGCTAAGCACATATCACATGACCCTGTGATATGGATTTTGAATTTGTTCATCATGGTCCATTAAATGCTTGGCCACAGCACCAGCAGCCAATACAGCCTCATGGTATGAGTGGTGAAGTTTCACTTGAGAGTCTTTATTAAGCATATACCTGAATCTTTTTTAAACATTGGCATAATTGCTATTTGTAACATCATGCAGCATGTCCATATTCCAGCTTAGACAAATGATGTATTTCCTGAGTTTTGGGTTAAGGACAACAGAGCCAGAATAGGGGATTTAATATCTACTTTATATTTTTTTAGCGACGGGGAAACCCCTTGCACCCTCTAGTTCTGCCCCTAGTTAAGGATGGGTGAAGTACACAAATAGGATGGCCTTGAATTTTTATTCCCGGGCTGAACTTCAAGTTTAATAAGTATTGCCCCTCGCGGGGTCAAACTTTAAAGACCGCTCCAAAAAGTGTCACATTTCTGCAATTTTTTTTGTTAAGGATGGACTTGTACATGAAGAATTGGGCTCGAAACATTGTAGTAATATGGGCCTTTCAGACAATCCAATAACTGTTTTTTTGTTGATAAGGGCCCAGTCCAGTAAATGCCTCCAACTTTTGTAGGCACATGCTCCACATGTATTTACTTGTTTTTTTGTCACTAGTTAAATCATAAATGGGAAGGAGATTTCAATATACTTTCCCCATTTTTATTAGAGTTCAACGTTTACGAAATGAGCTCCTGATGTAACGAATCCAAATCGATGGCGAATCAAGGTAGCTTGCTTAACAAGCCAATAGGCAAATTAATTACCGAATAGAACATGATGCAAAATATATGGTACATCTATCGTGTGAAATATGACTTAGAAAAATCTCCATTTTATGTTAGGTAGGCACTAAACAGCATCTTATTTACCTACCCAATTTCTAATTACTGTTTTTGTAGCTCCTGCTCCGTAGCATATTGTTCCAACTTCGAAGTAATAAAATAGATTTTGATAGATAAAGTACCATTATTGATTATAAAAGTGAGTGATTTTGTTACAAGAATGGAGCATACTTAATCATTCCACCCATATTATTGGCAGAAAGAAATTTAAAAAAAGAGAGGTAAAGTCGGCAGGAATTAGTTTAGGCACAAGGTAGCGATCCCAAAACAATAGACCAAGTCATTGTAATTAACGTATCTACAGACTACAATCCATATATACATATTCCATTTATAATTTTGCTTAGACGGTGTTATTCTTTAGGCAAAGTCGTGGAGATTGTGAAATTGTCAAGATTTAATGCCGCTATTAGCCGGCTGGCTTGCTAATTTTACTAGCAATTAACAACATATAAATAGGTCCCTAGTTTCACCACTTTCATATCATCTATAGCATTCACAAATATTCTACACTCCAAATTTTTTCAATAAATCTTTCAATCCCAATGGCCTCTACAACTTTGTTGATTG